GTTTGCTCGTCTACGCTCGATCCCGAATCCAGAGGCTTTCCCCCTTGCCCTTCCGCATTGATTACGACACTCGCATACGGAAGCCGCACGAAGCCACATTGCACGTGAGTAATCTAGTGTGATCTTTGTCCAGGTCTTGAAATTCGAACACGCTCAACACCTTCCCCCTGGAGATCTGATCTAAACCTTCCGCTTGCGTCAGCGCTTGCGCAAGCGTTTAAGTAAATCCACACTATTAGCCCTGCTTCTTGAAATGTAAGGAGGAAAAAAAAAGAGAGGATGTATTATATAGTATTGTTATTATTATTATTAATATACATATATATTACTGATAATTATTGTTACAACCATTAATAACGAATTACATCGCAATCGTCAAATCAAACACTGCAATCACTGATTTGAGGAGTCGAAGACCATTTCCAGGAACAAACAATGTCCAAAGCCCTTGGCCGTTGAATCCTATGCTGTGTGGGTTTGAAAGTGCAAGTGCTTTCCCTTACCTCCCCTCGCAGGGAGGGGATGTCGGGAGGCTACCAAAATTTTTTCAAAAAAATATTGGACTTAGTCGAATTTTTTTTTTGGAAGATTGGAAAATGTTCAACTGACCGATTTAATTTGAAAATAATTGCAATATTGAATAAATTAAATGACAAAATTTCTAATTAAACCATTTAATTAATAAGATAATTAATCTAAAACTAAATATGTCATTTAGATCAATTAATTAATATTAAAATGAAACCTAAAAATCTAAAACTTTAACTTACTTAAATTAACTAACTAATTTAGAATTTAAAATAAATTTAAATTGTTACCTTAATTAAATTAATTTGAGTAACTAAAAATCTAATCGATAAAAAGAAAATATATGAATCAATTTAAATCTAACATTAATCAACCAATCTAATTTAAAATAAAAATAAACATCTAATTCAAAATAAAATTAACCTATAAGTTCATTAATTTTTACATAAAATTAAACTTTGATTGATTAATTGAGAAATCAAAAGTCAATTAAAAATTTAACTTTAATCAATTTAAAATTTACTTAGGGCTAAAATAAAAAAAATCAGACGCCTTAATTGAAAATAGAAAAATTATTTATATAAGTTTAAATCTCCAACATAATTAATTTAAATAAGAGGAATTAAATAACTAAATTCGAAATAGAAATTTTAATTAAAATTCATATCATTTAATTAAATTTAAACTTATATTAAAAATAAAATCTTTTAAATAAATTGAATAATTGAGCAATCAATTTAATTTAAATAATTAAATAATTTAAATATACATTTAACATATGTAATTTTAAACTAATGAATTGAATATTGAACTTTAATTAAAAATTCATTTATTTAATTAATTAAATTAATTGGTTAATTAAAGCAATTAAATTCAAATAAAATTAAAGAGCATATAATCAATGCTTCCACTAATAGAACTTAAGTATAAGCTAACAAAGCTCTTCAAGCAACGAGCTCTCCTAGCAGCTCTCCAACAAGCTCTCCAAAACTAACTCTCGACACACTCTCTGGCCCCCATAAGTAGCTTCAATTGTAGTTACCCGAGAGCTCTCTAAACTGCTATATGTACAATCTAACTGCAATCAAATAAATATAGTGTTAATAGCATTAATACAAGGTATTAAATATAGCTGGTGATGTTAAACTAGTGCTAGAGAGAACAAAAGTGACATTGAAAAGTAAGCTACTACTTTATGCCATAAACTACCACTATGCGCAAAAGAAAATGCTAACACTAGTGTCAAGCGAGCGAAGTGCGCAAAGCTATGTCATCGCTAACCGAAGCCCTATAGGTCACTTTTAATAGAAGCTGTTAATCCTACAGGTAACGATTTCACTAAATATATATATTAAGTGAAATAATATGCATAAAAAATTTCCCCGACTACTTTCAATGAAAGCTATAAGTTCGGTTTTTAAGGGAAAATATTTAGGTAATACCATAATTATAGACCCCCTTAATGGGCATCATAGTCTATAGGACTGTTGTAAGACCCCCTTAATGAGCATAGAAGGCATGCGTATTCGGGTATTGAGGCGAGGCGTAAGCCTTAAGGCGTTTTGAGGCGTAAGCCTCAAAATCAAAAGATTGCGTAAACATAAAATGATAAATTTTTTATATACTAATGAGTGAATAATATAAAACTTTAAAAAGCATAAGATATGAAGTGAAATCAAAATATCCCAATAGTAAGACAACTTGAAATATAGTTCAACTCAAAATTATATTTTTCCCAAATCCCAGTATTCTTTTCATTAACATATAATTCCAATTTCTAAAAATAAATAGCAATGACATGTCACATAAGAACTTATAAGTCATCAGCACTGTCATCACTAAGGGGTTTTTCATTTGAATCATCATTATGATGAACTGCTCTCTCCCCTTCCTCCTCTCCTATAGAGTCAAATGTCGGGCATTTACTTCAAGATTTATGTAAGTTTTAATATATATATAGCGTGAGGCGAGGCGGGCCTCAACCAAGTTGAGGCACAAGCCTCTTAACAAAAACTCGAGGCGTAAGCATCGAGGCTTTTTTTCTTGGAATTGCGCAAAGGCGGGCCTCAAGGTGAGCCTCATATTGCGCAATTTTAAACTTAGCCCTATAGGCTAAGATGTCCAGTGGGTTTTGGATGTTCAAATAAGTCTTATGGCTTCTAAATTTAGAAGTTGCCTGACAATGGGTCATACGACCTAGCCGTATAATCTAAGTGGCCTTATATGACATACACAGTTTCTTTATACAAATAGTATAATAGAAAAGGCGTTATGAAAGCATGTTTTAAAAAGTATGAACTATGAATATGTGAAGTGTATTGGATATTAGTTTAAAGTAAAGTTTGACTATAAAATAACATATAATTTACAATTTCAAGTATGCCAAAAGGGTCCCCATGTATGACACTGTATTATAAGTGGGGCAAAAGGGACCCCAAAGAATTTGATATTTGTATAGCAAATGAGGCAAAAGAGACCCCTAAAGAGGCAAAATGAACCTCTATGTAATTCAATGACGATAATGTCAGGTTTACTTGAGCTCCATTTAATACTTTTATGAAAGTGTAGCCAAATCTTTTAAAGACTAAAATTGATATTCAATATATACTTTAGAGGAAGTAATTGTTAATGCCAAATGTGATTTTATGATGTTTTATAAATAATATCAAATTTGTTTAATTTATGATTTCAATGTTTAGAATCATACAAATTAAATGCTATTTAAATTTGTATAAGTTATTGAGCCTTATAGCTCATCAATTTCTTTTATATTGGTTGTTACAGGAAAAAGAGGGAAAAGGTTGTTGAAGAATAAGTTGCAATGTTATTTTATTTTATATGCTAGTGTTTAGCTCTGTTTGTAAGTCTAAAACTGAGGTATGTAGATAGTTTGTTGGATACTATTTGAGATTTTTATTAGTGGCTCTATAAGTATGTGTTTGCTGAAATTTGGAGCTTTTAGATGCTTCTGTTTTTGTAGTAAATGAAATGTTATTAGATGTTTTATATAAATTTTCAAATACTAAAAAATATCATATAATAGATGTTGAAAAATATTATGTTTATGCATGTGATACGTTACAATACTGTTAAAGGGTATTGTGGGACGTTACATAAGACCCGCTATTCGGGCTACATCCAAGGAATGTCGTAAGACCTGTTACTAGGGCTACTTTCAAATGAAAGCCGTAAGCCCTTACCCAAAATCCAATCATACGTGTAACACCTAAATGGGGTTGTAAGACCCAATTAAAATCTAAACTATGGGTAACTGTTAACTGGAGCCATAAGTCCCTACTCAAACTAAGTAGCTAATATATATCCACTTCAGTTTACTTGGGATCTCTGAGAGTAAGCAACCAATTGCTGCTAATTAGGTTCTCTTGACACTACAATCAACGGTTGCTAGTGTTGGTAGACTGAAACCAACGATATTCCCGGGATGACGGAACCATGAGATCTTGATCGGGTTTACTTTCATCCCACATAATCAGGGTTTAGAACATTCACACACTGTTGCACACACATCTATACTTTTTTCACTAACTAAATATATTTCATCCTTAATCAAAAGTACTCTTCTACGTGTTAGGAGGGGTAATTAACTATGAGGGCTTGTGCTCATTGGAAATAGAACTCATATCTAAATAAACTCTGACACTATCCTCAGGGAAAATCTGGTTAACTTAAAATTCAATTTATCTCAGGGAAAATAGGACCTTAAGGTTGCGTAAGCGAGGTTTGTGCCTGAAGCATCCATGTTGTATTTTTCTAAGCGAACAATAACCAAAACCTTTATGCCTAGAATAATAAGACTTTAAAATGCAGTTGAGTTCATTTTGTTTGCCTTGAAGGCATGGAGGAAGTCTTGTTGTTTCAAATCATCCAATTACACCCCTTTTCTTATTTTAATCAACAAATAGATGTTGCACAATGGGGAATGTCAGATTTTCTTGAGGATGGTTGCTTTGTGAGGCTGGTGCATTTGTAAGAGTTGATGATGATGCTGCTGGCAGTGGCAGTTGGCTATTCGATCGACATATGGCAATCAATGATGTATTGAGATGAACATGAGGACGTGAACAACATGAAATGTCTATTATTAGAAATGCGCCAATGTAATAACATTGTATAATAATTTTACTTATCAAATAAGCATAAAATCCATATTAATCTAATTTTAATAATAATAATTAACTTTGTTCTTGTAGAAAATAAACAAAAATAATCATATAAAAATAGGCATTTTATGTAAATTAATTGTTAAATGCATATTTTAGGCTTTTAGCTGTCCTTCTGAAAAGAAATGCCTTTTTTAGTCTTTTACTTATTGTAAATACTCCATTCCCATGATTGTTATTTCAATTAATCCATGACATGCGTGTCTATTACATTTTTCTTGTTTATTTATTATTTATTTATTAAGACTCATCAATGACAAGTTCGACACATGTGGGGGCGTTCGACATGAGTTAGGTGTGTGTGTTATGTCCTATATTTGTCAGACAGTGCACTTTGATATTATAAAATCTTGGTGCATCATAGTCGATAGTTTTAAAGAGGAGTATGAGAGATCAAATGGTGGGATAGAAGCAATAAAGTTGGCTTGGTAACTATGGTGCAAAATTTCAAAAACTAAGTTATAACCCACGTTTTCAAGCCCTATTCTCTATCAAATAGAACAACCTGAATCAGCTTATTCTGATTTTTGGTATCATCAAAACAGCATCTATATGCAGGTTTCAAACTTTTGTTTTTTATTGAAGGTTTTCTGCTGATGTTTCTTTACGTTGAGCTAAATAAGCTTGATTGAAGGACATTAAAAGCAATGGTTGAATAGCATTGATGGTAAGTGTTGATGATGGAGAAAATTACAAAGGTTTGAAACGTGAAAGGTTGGACGTGGAAAGGAAGTGGCTTGACATACAGTTTTATTGTCGTTTGTCATATATTTATTAGTAGTAAGAGTATAAAAATAGATATGTAGATAGATTTTCTTTTTTAAAGTGTCCCAGATCCTTAATATTAGCAAGCTTGGATTATAAGGGGATCTGATATTCTATAATTATGGGTTTCTGGCATGTATCTGTGCAATTTCATGTTTGAGGCGGCCTTGTATACTTGTTACAAGTGAAGTTGGTTGAATTGAGCTTTAAGGTGACCTTCCCTTGTTTTCTATTGGGTTTTGTATTATCTTTTTAGGGATCGCCCTCATAACCCTATCTGGAGCTGAGTCCGCCTAATAATCTCTCCACCAATGGATGCTACATATCGTTCCTAATTAGTAAGCTCCTGTTGCTTGATGGAATTAAAAGTTTAGATTTGACCAATTTATCTGCTAATATATGCAAATTGCATAACCTAATAAGATTCGTGAAGTTAGGAATCAATAAGTTTTAGAGGAATCAGTTTCTTGATGTTCATGGTTCCTAAATGATGTAGCTTGTATTAATTACAAAAAAATTTCCTGTTTGCATTTTGCTACAATGCAAAGGAGGAAGAGTTCAGTGATTTCAGATCATAGTCAAACTGTTCGTCACTGCACATTTTGTGATCTTTTATTATTATTATTTTTGTTCTGCCAAAACTTGGTCCGACACCAATGAAGAAAGTACTCTTTGATTGATTTTGAAGGCTGGAAGTAATGCAACTTACTAGTTTTACCTACCTTCTTATGGTATGATTCTGTTCTGTTTTGAGTAGGGTCCTTTTCGACTTGTGGCTGAGGAGGGAAAGTCTAATTGTTCATGGGTCAGCCTTGATGATATAACTACCTGCTTGAAACGAGGTATACTTTGTTTTCTCACCATTATCAGTTTTTTCTAAATTTGCATTCAATGTCATACTTGATTATTTTGCTCTTATAATGGCATCTGCTTGAAACCTCATCATCATTAGAATCAAAATCCTTATCCCAACTGCTTGGGGCAAGTTTTATGAATCCTCATTCTTTATTTGTTCTTGACATGTGCTCATGAATTGTTAAACATATTTTGCTTGAATCATTTTGCACATTTCTTGCCCATGTTACTTCTAGCGTAGCCCTTTTCTTTCTATTTCTTTAAAACATCAATGCTATCTGCCATCTTATTGGTATATTTTCTACCTTTCATTATACACATCAAAAGTTAACCTATATTCAACAGATATTACTCCTATCATCTTTCTAATATAAGATTTTCTCAATTTATCCTTGTTATTTTATTTTTTAATTTTTGGGGTTTTTTTCTCATGCCTTATGAACCTAAAGTTAAGTACGTTGAACCAGCCTATCCATTCTTCATTAAGGACTAGATTCCCTATTCCAGCGCGATGTGAATCTAAAATTAAGTTTGCAGGACCGTTGATGCTAAATCTGATGCTTTTCTTTGTTGTTTTCCAATTCTCTAGCATGCAAATGTCTAGGTTAATCAGTCCCATTGATGCGGACATCCAGCCGTCCATGGCTATCCGAGGAGCTGAAGATCAACGACTACCATCGTCCCACGTTATCTTATATTTTATTTGTAATTTTTAAATTTTTATTATAAATTTTCCGTTTTTACCCTCACTAAGAGGGTCGTCCTATGTAAGCCTTAGGGGCATATGTGTATTGTTTTAGTTTCTTAGGCCTATATTTAGAGGCATTTTCTTGTGTAATGGGATGATGAATTGATAATGAAATTTTATTCTACTTGTTTGATCTGTTAGTGAGTTCATGAGAGGAGAAGGATCTCTTTGTGAGTTTTGAGATTTCCAAGATCACTTTGTGAGTTCTTGAGGAAGTGGAAGGATCTCTTTGTGAGTTCCGAGATTCCCAAGATCTCTTGTGAGTTCTTGAGGAAGTGGCACTTGTAGATCTCTTTGTGAGTTCTATTGGAGGTGTTGCTCGAGGTGTGTAGCTCCGGATTTTCTTTTTCCTAAACCCAATTGATTTCTTCTCTTCCTAACCAAACTCGCTTCCTCCCAAGTCCCCTCCACCGGCCCCAATAAGTCCACCACCAGCCACCCCAGGCCAATCCCGCCACCGGCGGCTCCGCCGGCC